GTGTGCCGCTGGTGCAGGACGTGCGCTGGGCAGGCGGGAAGCCGGCCGTGGAGTGTCTTAGCTGCCCCTGGCGTGCCCCTCCCTGGGCTCCCCCAAAGGCCTGGCTCGTTGGGGGGGCGGACGGAAATCGGGGCTGTGGCGGCAGCGGCAGGAAGGAGCCGCTGAGGGGCACTTCAAGTGCTCCAACGAACGGGCCGCTTGGAGGTGGGGGGGAAGGGGAAGAGAGAGAGGGAGGGAGAGGCGTTCGATCGTCAGCCACAGCCGCCATTGCCGGCCTTCTACTGGGCGCGGGGTCCTAGAGTGGGGGAGGGAAATGGAGGCGCGGCGAGTGGGCGGCCTGCAACTGGGGTGTGTGGGGGGGAAATGGGGTGCTCTGAAGTGGGTGGGTGGATGGGTGGGGTGGGCTGATGCAGGAGGGAAATCAGGCAGCAGCGAGTGGCTCGTTGCTGCTGTCGCCTCAGGACCATTTAGAGTGGACGCGGGGGGGAAGCAGCTTAGAGCATCTTAGAGTGGGGGGGAGCCAGCTGGGTGAGCGGAGGCTACAGGCTCCGGTCGCTGGGCTTCGACGGGGAAGGCAGATTTACCTCAGTGGTTCAGTGGTGGGGTGAGGACGGCAGTGCCGGCTCTATCGGGCTGTGATCCCTGACCAGTGGAGCGTCTGTCCCATCCAGGCGCTCCAAGGCGAGTGAGACCTTGTCCCTCCCCTCCCAGCCACCCAGCCAATGGCAGCCCAGTTGCCCTGAGGGAGCCAGCCATCGCAGCCAGCGTCTTCTGAGTGGCAATTCTTCCGGCCATACACTAACGCTGCGCATTTTAGAACGTTGGTGCCCACTACTGCTTTATTATAAGGGAGAGATAGTGTTAGAGAACTGGTAGTGTGAGGATTTGCCATAAGATCAGATGACCTTAATTCTGGAACAAGAGAGTACTGTACAAAATGTGATTCATACTGAAGTTTGTTTCTAGCCATTCCACATTGTTCTGTAGATGGCACCAAAATACTGCATTGTTTAAAGTGATATAATTCTTGAAAGTGTCTCTACTGCCATTCCAACTATGTGATTTAATTCAAACTTGCACTAGCTTATCTTGTTTAAAATTTGGTTTTATTTAAGAGAATAAAAGAGTTTTGAACAGCACATTTGGTTTGTGCATTAGAGTATTTCCTGTGTTTAGGGACTAATAGCTTATTTTTCCTTTCTTGTTTTCCCACAGTTGATTGGTTTTGTCTATGCCTGTTACGTGATCAGTGTCTTCATGGAGGAAGAGGACAGCTGTAAGTACTGATTCACACCTACCCATCTCTGGAGCTACAAACCTGGGGTGAGATTTAGTATTACACTCCTAGCCAACTTTATGAAACTAAAGGGGGAGTTTTTCAACTGTTACAGGCAGCCTCTGTGAACAATACCCATAAACACTTAAAACAGCTCAAATTATCAACATTCTCTTTAAATTGTCATTGATATTAGGCTTCCCAGTTTGATTGACAGTGGAACAGCCACTTTTTTCAGTGTGGAAATCTTTTCCTGCAGTACAGTTTAATCATGACATATTGTAAGTATGTGGTGCACTCTATTTTCTCTTTTTCTCTGCACTTTTAAGGCACTGTGTTGGATCTTACCAGCTTTTCTACTCAATCTTGCCCAATTCCCCTCCTTGCTGCTCCTTCCTTCCCGCATGACTTTTGTCCATGTGGGTTCCTGCCTTTTCAATGGTCAAAACAGGTGCTTTCCCCCTCTTTTTGAGAGTGGAAAAGCTGGTAGGATCCAACCCACTGTTCTGAAAAGGTGAACAATATGACAGATAATCCCAAATTAATGTAACATTAAGCAATCAGAGCAGTTCTAATATCCAGTATTCATCACAGCTGGATCACTGATTTTTGCAAGAATGTTCTGCTGTTCTTAATGCGTGTGCAGTGCAGTCCTAAGCAGAGTTCCACTCTTCTAAACCCACTGGCTTCAATGGACTTAGAAGGGTATAGTACTGTTTAGGAGTGCACTGGTATTCTAATTACTTTACAGGTGAGCCCAGTTCTTGGGAAAGGATAATATGGCTCTTTGTCCATATTTTGACTCGAATCATAACTGATGTTTCTAACCACTGTTTTTTAAAGTATAAAGTAGACACGGCACAGTCTGCTTTGAAAACTGCCAGAACTACGCAATGTTCATTTAATGTGATGTACACCCAGACTTATTGGCCTTTAAGACTCTCTTTAATGAAATATTCTTATATTGTTCAGCTCACAAAAGTTCTTGGAATGAAACCTGTCTGAGAGGCTTTAAAATTAATAACTGCCACCTCTTCTTTTTGCTTGGCAAGGCTTAAGTGGATACAGGCAAGGCTCAACTGAGGAGCATATCCAAAAGGGCAATATATGGACGAATGTTCTTTACATCCATTGTAATTCTCACTTTCATATCGCATTGTAATTTACTTGCCGACATGTTTCTTCATTAATTTTAAAGACTACACAAATATGAATCACTCCAATACAAAAAGGGCCATTGTTCCTCAGTCAGAGCATATGTTCAGTACTTAGGCAGTCTCAAGTTCATTGTTCATCATTGGTCATTAATGAATTGCGGGTTTCAAGGTTCTGAAAGCCTTTTGCTTCTAATCCTGAATAATTGTTGACAGGAGTTTATTGAACAGAACTCTGATCTAACTCAGACTAGGGCAGTTCCTTATAAGAATGCAGTTCCTTAGTTACATCCTATTTCAAATTGTACATTTCATATTGTACCTAGCCCAAGGAATGCCTGTTCTTCCTCACTGTATGGCTCAGCATCTTCATTAAACAAATAATGCTTATCAAGCAATGATATTGCTACCGTCTCCAGGGCCGTCCCAAAGTGTTTCTGCGCCCTAGGCGAGCGCAGATGCCAACCTCCCAGTGGGGCCTGGAGACCTCCCAGCTGGCGTGTGGCACCTCGGGGCGTAGCTCTGCTTTGCCGTTGTGCGTCCCTGCACTGCACCTCTTCCCCCTGTCGCCAGCTCCCGGCTCCTCTCCGGCATGGCAGCGAAGACTCGCCATCCTCCACACCCCGGGTGACAGCAGCAGCCCTCTCCGGGGGGTGGGGCATTCCAGAGAGCGTGTGCGCGAGTCCGGCTTCTTCTGGGGAAGCCTGCTGCTGCTTGGCAAGACTGGGGCAGCCTCTCCGAGGCCAGGCGAAAGGTTGGCTCCGAGGCGCCCCTCCCAGCGGCACCTCCCACTTCCCGCGAGGAGCAAAGCGCGTGTGGAGGTGGGGGGCGCGATATGCAGATGCAGCCCCTTTGCTGACTGGGCTGTTGGCGCCTGGGGTTTTCCACGCCACAGAAGGGCGCCACCAGGAGTTCACTGTGCCAAAGGGCCCCTCTTTCCCACTGCGCATCCTGCAAAGGCCCGGCCCCTTTTCGTGCTCAGAACAACAGAAAAGCTGCCAGGAGAGAATGTGGCCCCGCGCCACTGCGCCCCCGGGGCTGGGACCATTCCACAGCAGCTTGCCCTGCCACAGGGGTCACTCTCAGGGACCCTTTCAGGGTGGCAGCTCTGGAGGACTTGGCAGGCAGGCAGGGCTTTTGGTGGGGATGGGTGGGCGGGCCCAGTTTGGCACCCCAAGGTCCGGCCCACGCTCTAGGCGAATGCCTAGTTTGCCTAGTGGGTGAGCCGGCCCTGACCGTCTCTACCAATTGCTATGAGGTAATTGTTTTCCCTTTGGTTGGGTGAGAAACAGGCATATAGGATGGCTGTTGCCACTAGGTTGGCCATCTTGGTTGAGAGATCATAGCCAAAGATCTTCTCAGTCTGTCTGCCAGTAACCTCCATAGCCTGATCATTCAACCATGGATTTTCTAGGAACTGAATAGCCCTGTATAGAATAAATCTGCTGGTGTTTCTCTGCTTGCCATATGTGTGTTAGTTCTCTGTAACATTGCCACAAGGCCACTAGGTCTTTGGGTCTTTTAGGGCTGTACAGCTTATACAGCAGGGGCATCAACTGCTGAGTCCTTCCATGATTCAGCTCCATAAAGCTGATTTCCATAGGACTTTCTTGCAATTACACTGCAAGGCCACTTACTCTTAGAAATGCTAAGGCTTGAACACTTTGCAATAGCAGCACAAACAAGCTACTCTGTGGAATTACCTTATGGAAGGACCATTCTAAGGAGGCATGGATGGAGGGCAAATAGAGATCTGCAAAGAGACTTTTCCCTTCCTCTGCCAGTCCTCCTACATTTGTATTATCACAAATGTGTATGTGTGTTTGAGGGGGAGCGTGCACAAACAAATATCAATGCACTTAATTAGCAAAGACCCATGAACTATGAAGCTGCATCCTGATTCTTGATATTGTCCAGATGTGTATTCTCACAAAGCGAGTTCTACATTCTAACACTGGCTCTTCACAGTCTTCCAAATGTGGAAGTGATTTATGAGAATGCAGTGGTATAAAGATGATTATAGCTCAAAATAAGTATTAAAAAGATATATTAAAGAACTATTTGAGAAAAAGCTTAATAATACATGCCATCTCTAATTCTATTATGTAGATATGTGCTATCAATTCACAACCAACCCCAGCAAGGGGCTTTCAAGGCAAGTGAGAAGCAGAGGTGGTTTGCCATTGCCTTTCTCTGCAGAGTCTTCCTTGGTCTTCCCTTTAAGTATCGATCCTACTTAGCTTCCAAGGTCTGAGAAGATCAGGCTATACCCTACCATTCCACATCCTAAGTATTAGTGGCCAAGTCTATTTAATTTTTTCATTCCTTCTTTTGTAGCTGTGTGGTGAGAGATACAAAGAGAGAGAGAGATCTCCATTCAGATTAGCTGTTCTCTACCAACTTTCTCCCAAATGTACACTTATCTCGCCAAAATTACAGTTTAAAAGATATCTGTCTGAAGTCAAGGTAAAATTCAGTGCAAATCCTGTTATTAACCTCTGCCAAAGGAAACTGTACATTATTTACACAGGTTCAGCTGGTAATTATAGATGACCACAGTAGCACATAATGGATTTGTTTTAATAAATATCCTAATACCATTCGCGGGGAGGGCGGGGTATAAATGCAATAAAATAAATAAATAAATAAATAAATATCTCCAGTATGGCATGTGTTGTTCCCTTTGCTTTCTGCTTCTGACATACCAAATGAACTAGTCACTTGGAATGTATAAATGTGGACATTTCTAGACAGTACTGTCTATCTTGACAGTGAGTTAAGTTAGATCTGAACCAGAGAAGATTTTTTCCAGTGAACCCCAAATGAACCTGAAATTTCTCACTTGTCTTAAACCTGAGTTTGAGCTCAGACCCAAAAGAAAAAAAATGATTCAAAATAACTTCATTTAGAAAAAAGCACACTTTGTACTATGCTATAACTATGGCCACATTTTAAATCTGTGGCCTCATTTTAAATCTGTGCTATCCGTGTTTTGCTTTTGAATTAAAACTTGTAATTGTTTGGACTGTTGTTCTGGTTCCAGAAGAAACAGCAAAAAATAACTTTTTAGTTTCTTTAATATAATTTCTGTGGATGTACATCTGCATTGGGTATGAGCTGTGATGTGAACATAGAGCATATGCTTTGCATGCAAGAGTCCTAAATTCAATCCCTGTCGTTATTCCCAATTAAATGAAATCATGTGGCAAGTGTTGGGGATGACTCTAGAAAAACACTCACTGCCAGTCAGAGCAGATTAAATGGACCAAAGGTTAACCTTTGTATGTTCATGTTTGTCAGATGAAAATAGATTATGGGTCTTAATTCTGAATTCCTGAAGACTCCAGAGCTGCATTTTAAAATTTATTTACTTTTATTGTATTTTTGTTTATCTTTGATTTCATAACTCATGTATTGTTTTGTGTTCTTCTGTGTTTTGGCTTCTTCTAAAGGTGCCCTGGTGTCAAGGAGTCCAAGGCTGGACCCTGTGGGTTCCCAGGGCTGTTGTACACATGTAACTAAACCTTTGTTTAATCTTCTTTTTAAAAGTACAGTTTTATTTAGTTTCTGTCAAAATATAAGATTTAATCTAAAAGCAATACACCACTCTGAAATCATACAACAGAAAAACAAGAAAGCTAACTTAACTATTGAAATATACTGAGTTCAGACGCGTTGAGTAATCAGCTCATAGTTTATTAAGTGGTTTCAGCTCAAAACTAAGACAAACTTGCAGGGTCAGAGCCCTGCTTATATTCATGAAACACACCTCACCCAACACACACCCCACATCTCACGATGATAGGCTATTTACGGGTTATTGTTTTCCAATTGCCTATTACTAGGATCCGGATCAATCTATTGGTCCATTCTAGGATCCAAACTTTCTATTGTGATGTGCTCCAAGCTACGCTATTCCGCATGTTTGCTAGCAAGCTCTTTCGCACGTACGGTTCCATCGCAATGTTGTTGTTGTTCAGTCGCACAGTCGAGTCCGACTCTTCGCGACCCATGGACCAGATCCCGCCAGGCCCTCCTGTCTTCCGCCATCCTCTGAAGTTGGCTCAATTTCATGTTCGTTGCATCTATGACACTGTCTAACCATCTCACCCTTTGCCGTCCCCGTCTTCTTTCTTTCCCAGCATCAGGGTCTTCTCCAGTGAGTGCTCCCTTCTCATTTGGTGGCCAAAGTATTTGAGCTTCAGTTTCATTATCTGGCCTTCCAGGGAACAGTCAGGGTTGATTTCTTTTAGGATTGACTGATTTGTTCTTCTTGCAGTCCAAGGGACTCACGATACATAACATCTAATGATTTCCAAAACCTGCATTAGATGGCACAAGCCGTAAGCCCCAAAATGAAAGGCTACAACTCCAGCATTCTCTACATTGCTATCTATTGCAATACAAACATATCATAGTCCAGGCCTTCAGTCCATCAGATCCAAGTTAGCCTTCTTTCTCCAAACCTTTAGCTCAGTTATACCTTTTTGACCAAGCAGCATCAGGTGATGATGACACCCAATCAGGCTGGAACCCTCTAGAAAATTACGTCATCACTCCTGATTCCTCCCTCCCACTTGTGGGTCGCAGGTTCTCATGAGAAGCTAATTATCACAGTTCCAGCTCTGTCCTTGAAGCCGATAAGGGCCATGTAGGCTGAGAGACCAATTAGCAACACTTGGAGGATGGAACATGCCCATAACCATTTACATTAACCCTTGAGGGGAGAGCCGGCTGTGCTTTGCCTCACACCTGGGTTTTAAGAATAAGGTAGTTCTTAAAAATCCAAAATAAGCCAAACCAACCCCCTTGGGGGGGGGGGAACCACTCTGCCTTCTAAGCCTTCTCTCTGTAGTGAAAAGTTATGAGATGAAGTAGATTTAATGTGCTTTCAAACAAGAGAGTATTCACACAAAAACTGAGGTAATACTTAGAACAACTGCAGTATCCCACAGGGTGAAGTGGCACTACTAATAAGGGCACTTTTGCATGCACTTAATAATGCACTTTCAATGCACTTTAGAGCAGGGGTGCCAAACATAAGGCCCGGGGGCCGGAACCAGCCTGTCCAGGGCTCTTATGTGGCCTGACGCAAGGGAGGAAGTGCTTGGGGGAGTGGGTAGAGCCTCTCCACTGTAGCTTCAGCATGGCAGAACAACCTCATTTGCATTTGTTGCCTCTCCAGTCTGCCTGTTTGGATTTCTTCTGTACCCCCCTCCCAGCCCATGTGGCCTTGCAGTGAGGATACACCAACTCGGAGCTTACCAGCTGCTGTCCTTTATACAGTTTCTGTGTCCAGTACCTGGCATTATGTTTTATGGCACACATGGCCCAGCCCCAAACAGTGAGATTTATGTCAGATTTGGCCCTTGTAACAAATGAGATTGACACCTCGCTTTAGAGATTGTTTGCTAGTGGATTTTGCCATTTCACACAGTAAAACACAATTACAAAGTGCATTGAAAGTGGATTCAGCATGTGTGAAAGTGCTGTAATAGTGTAGGGATTTCGACAGATTTTGCTTCCACATAAGCCTAAATATCACTGAAAGCAGCAGAGATTTCTTTGAATATACAAGTGTAGCATATATCTCAAATTTAGCATTACTAAAATTTAAAAGTTTGTGAAACTTTCTGAACAGTTTCCATAGATTATTCCATATAAGCCTACCACTGGCCACATTTTATTTACTGTCCAGCCCTAAACAGGTTTACTTAAAGACTGTACTGTCATTTATTTAACCACCCTTCCAGCTAATTTGGGGCATTTTCACAATAAAATAATATTCAAGATCTAGTTAAATGCAAATCGGCCATGACACATTTGACCAGTCATCAAAACAAAACTGCATGAAAGCCTTGGAGAAAAAAAAGCTTTTGCAAGCTTTCTAAAGGAATGCTAAAGATGGAAACTTTTGCATGGCCTTGAAAAGCCCATTCCAAAGAAAGAGTACAATAGAAAATACCTGAGGATGGGTAACTGAGGTGCAAACCCCTGGTAAACAGGGCACAATACTATCAGGAATTGCTGGGTGAAACAGAGCTGGTACATAGGCTCACATAGGAAGAGGTGGTTATTCAGACCGCTGATAGTAATTTGAATGCATGAAGCTGACTTATACTGAATCAGACCACTCAGACTGGCAGCAGCTCTTTGGGGTCTCAGGCAGAAGTCTTTCACTTCACCTATTGCCTTATCCTTTTAACTGGAGATGCTGGGGATTGCACCTGTGATCTTCTGCTTGCATAGCCGATGCTCTAGATAAGGCCTCTCCCCTAATTAGTCCATCTTAATTGACTGGCACAGCTGAAGTACTAAAATTCCAATCACTTGGGTATACCTAATGCATGTCCTAATGTGGGAGGGATTTATGCTGCAGACACAGCACTGTCTTGTACTGAGTGAAAGAATAACTAATAGCCAGG